TGGCCCGGGGCGGGGGGACAAGGCGAGGACCCTCGGGCATGATGGGGCCTGTGAGCACAGCTCCTCATCAAGGTGGAAGTGCTAATTGCTCTCCCCAGCCTCCCGCATCGCTGCTCAGCGCCTGGTTGGGGTCGCACTGAAGCACCTGTTGAAATAAGGGCTGCAGCTGGGCGAGGGGGCTGGGGGCTGCTTGCTGCTCTCCTCCCCCTCCCCGCAGGCTGGTTTGGGGCTGAGCTCTATCTCTGCAGCTTTTCCTTTTTACCTCATGCCAGGGTACCAGATAGTCTCACTAACACAAGTTTGGCTACCCTGTGCATGCTCTGTAGCTGGGGGTGCAGAGCTTGTGGTTGCTTTCTTTGTTAATAGACACTTTTGGCAGTGAAGCAAAGAGAGCTGCTTGGCAGGGACTCAGGCAAAAAGCTGATCTGTGTTCAGGTAACCCCTCCACTCCCACAGAGAGCTCCGAGCTCCACTGGTGCCTAGTGCCAGGCAGAATTACTGACCAATGAGCTGCTGTAAACCCTGGCCCTGGCTCATTTGACCCCCCTCTACATGGGCTCTAAACCCCAACAGAAATAAACTCTGTTAAAGACAGTGTATTCTGTCCCCTTTCCTCCCCGGGGCTGGCTGTCAGAGGCAGTGGCAACTCCAGGCTGCTCAGTCACCTATGAAAAGTTTCCAGCCACAAAGCAGCTCTGAATTATGAATGAATTTGCTTTGTCAAACGAAGGTCTTGGCTCAGGGATTAGGTCTCAGCTATGTGCTGGAGACAGTTACTGATATCAAAGTCCCCAGCACACATGTACCCTGTGATGGATCCCGGGCCATTGCCCTGATAACGTGATTAGCCGCTTTAATGCAATCAGAAGGGGAGAAGTACTGCCATGAAAGTGAGGAGGCAGCAGCCTGGGTGCCTGGGAGTGATTCCTGAGCAGCACAAGGTTGGCCCGTGGCTGAAAGTAAACGGCTGCAGGGCCGAGACGTGGCTGCACAGACTGCACTGAGGCCATTGGCTTTACTCTGATGCTCCCAGGGAGGCACAGCCTGTCCCCAACGCCTCCCGGGGCAGAGCAGGGGAGGGAGGATCCACCTGGTCCCCGCGGCAGATCTCAGGGCACTGCTGTAGCTCACGTTGGCCCTGAAGTGAGGCACTTGTTGCAAGGTGACTCACAGTTTTATGGCCGAGGAAGCATTCCTGTTCACTGGGAACCCGCCGCACCAGTGAGCAGGCAGTCCTGGTGATGCGGGTGGTTGTGCAAGACAGTCATGAACGTGCCACCACATTCGTGGCCTTCAGAAACTGCCCTGCTGCCTGCTGCCCCTGCAGCTCGAGACAGCGCTTTAAAGAGTCGATTTCTCAACTGGATGTCCAGGCATCCGGTAGTTCTCCCCAGCTGACCAGCTCTGCCTGTTTGGCTCAGCCACTGTGGCCCAACCACCTACCCATTCATCCTGCATCCCTGCCAGTGCTGGAGCAGGTGGCATCCACCGTGTCAACGGGAGTAAAGAACCAGTTCAAGCCCCTCCTGCTCACAGAGTAGTGTTTGCTCTTGCTTCACCCATGTGATACTGAATGAGTTATTGTTTTTTTCCCATTTTTAATATTTTCTTGTCCAAAAGCAACTCAGCAGGCATGCAGCACTGTCAGGAGTGCTGGAGAGCCTGGGAGCCATGATATGCACCACTCCCCAGGCTGCACAGTCTGAAAGCCCAGATAAACGTTACCAAGGCCTGGCCTAACTCCCTCCAGGAGCCAAGCTGCCACACAGGAGAGCAACACCCAGGGCTGGGGGCTCTTCTCTCTCACAGGGGAGCACAGGAGGTGGCTGGCACAGCCCAGGGGGGTCCAAAATCCCTGTAGGGACACAACTGAGGCTCCTTGTCCCGGTCAGTACTGCTGGGGGCACAGCAAGGCACTGGGTGGGCACAGGCAAGGTGGCTGGTTGGTGAAGGGAGCACCCGAGGCAGTGGGAGATGAGATGCTAAGGGCAGGCAGCAGTGCAGCAGACATTGCCATGGGGCTGAGCTATCCGTACTGATCGTGAGAGAGGAGCGGGGACTGCTGGCAGCCCTTGGCTGTGTACCTGGGAGTCTTTCAGAAGAAACGTTTTTTGGGAAGTCCACCCCAGCAGGATTTACCAAGGGCAGCTACCTGAAAGCTGCAGTTAATCCTCCATGACCACATCGCTCCTGCTTGCTTCTCTCCTTGCCTCGTGACTACCAAGAGCCCTTCTTAAATAACAGTCAATATTGTCAGACTGCTTGTCCAATGGAAGAATAAATATCCGGGGACACCTTGTCCTTCTCAGGGGGAAGAGTGCCTGGAGCAGCAAGCCCACAGACTTGGGGGGCCAGTGGAACTCCCTGGCAGTGCCTAGTGGGGGTAGAATCACCTTTCCTTCTGTGGGGGGACAAGAGGCCAACCCAAGAGCCACAGCACATTGGCATGAAGCTCCGTGCTGTGGAAATTAGTAACCCTAAAGGGGAAGAAAATTGCTGCAACTAGGAACTTTTAAAAACAGCTACCTACTGCTGCAGGAGCCTCTGAAGCCATACTGAGGTTTCAGCCAGGGTATTACCTCACAGGGCAGTCCAGCTAAAACTGGGGGGACATGCTGATGCCACGTGCCAGCAGCGGGGCTGTGCCACCCACTGCTGGGCAGACAGCCCAGCCCTGTCCTGCCGGCACTTGCCACCCCCATTCATGTATGGCTGGAGTAACTCATCTCCGTCTGCCTGACAAGAGGGGCCACATCGTTTTCATAGCCCTGTCTTTAGTTACATGGGTGCAGCCAATCCTGGTCTGGTGCCTTTAAAGAACGATTTTTGGCAGGAAAAGGTTATGATGCATGAATCCTTGGAGGAAAAAAGTCATTATGATTTTTGTAGTATTCATCAGCCTGATTTCTAGAGGAGGTGCTCCGAAGGGAAAGAAGTAGATGCAAAGCATCATTAGCCTTGCACTTCCACCTCGTGGTCATTGCAGTGCAGGGACCAGCCCACCTGCCCATGCTCACACCTTCCAACCCACTGGGGCTAGGGAGTGTCATAAAATACATGTGAACAGGACAGAAACCCCTGCCCAGCTTTTCTACCAGCTCCTGAGCAGGGCATCAGGGCTGCTCCAGGTGGGCAGAGATGCCCCACAGCCACATATGCCCCGGGGTGTGCATGGTTCCAGCTGCCATCCCAGGCAGGTTTGTTGTGCCACACAGAGATGAGGCAGGGAAAGAAGTGGGAGAAAACATCCTGCTTTGGCATTTGGGGATTTTTTTATGCACTCTGCAGAAAAGCTCAAGGATTTTGCAGCGCAGAAGGCTGAGCTATTTTCCAGCCTGAGCAGGGAGCACTCTCCCTTGCAGGCGTGGGTTGCTTTAGAGGAAAGCCTTGCTCTGCAGCTGCTGGTTTGCAGTGGTGGCCGTGCTGGAGCTGTGCTGCCATGCTGGACCCTTGCAGGGCCCCTCTCATTGGTACCCTCTTAGCACAGCCCACGCACAAGAGGGTTTACTCCTTTTTGCAGCTGCCCTCGATGAGGGGGTCCCATGCACACACCTGGGACACAGGCTGGGGGCTTCCTTACCCTTCTCATTTTTCTTGTATAGGGGCAACCCCAAATTTCTACACATACATTTATCTCCTCCAGCCCCTTTAGGGCTGACACAGGCAATGAAATCTCCACAACCAGGCTACCCGTGGAGGAACGTGGCCATAGGGATCCCCCCAAACTAGGATGAGGGACTCCCACCAGTGCACAGCCAGGAGCGAGACAGGCTCCCACCCTCGCTCCTGCAAGTGCGGGAGGAGGCAAGGCCTTCATCCCCAAGGGGTGTCACGGGCTAGAAGGAGCCTGCCACCCTGCAGGCTCCAGCTGAGCGCCGTGGGTGGGAGGAAGCTTCCCAGAAGATGGTGAGCTAAATAAAGGCAAGGCCTGGAACAAGCTGGGGCTGCCAGCTATTTATTCTAGCATGCCTGTACGCTGCAGAGCAGGAGAAAGACATTTTAAAGCTGCTCCAAGGAAGCCTGTCTGTCTGCCTGGGTTTGTTGATCAAAAATCTAATTATCAACCCTCCCCACCATCATCTCCAAGCCCTGCATCACCTCCAGCCAATTATCTTCCTAAATGCACCTCCTCCAAAGCAGCCAGCCCCTCTATCAGTACTACACTGAAGCAAATTGCTTGGAAAAAAAGGCTTTAGCATATACAGAGTAGCAGGAGCTTGGGAAGCATCCCCATCCTGCACTTCATTTACTTCTGCACAGCCCTAATGAGAAATTTCTAACCAGCTTTTATCACCCAGGTCTCAACGCTCCTCCACTCAAAAACTCTCATAAGCACTTACTCCTCTGGGCTTACAGATCTCACCTCCTAGGAAAAAAAAAAAAAAAAAAAAAAAAGCACACACCCCAAACTCCTATTAAAAAAGCAACCACTGCAATTTTTGTTCTTGAATATGTATTTTTTACTGAAAAAATCATTCATAAATTAACAAATACAAAAATGTACAAACACATGGGTAAATAAATGTAATGACACAAAGGATTGCTTTGCTGAGAAGTGTGTGTGTGTTTTAAAACACTAGTCTTCAGTGCAAAAATGTCCCCCTGGCACCTCTTAAAAACATAACAGTAAGCTCAAAAGCCATGATGATGGAAAGCTACTTTAGAATTTAAAGCCACTTCTGATGGTGAGCGACCTGAAGTATGTGGCTGTTGCTCAGATGGTACTTCCCTTAGAGAAGCAGAGCTTTACAGGTAACTAAGTGTCAGTAAATAGTTTTGCAAATAAAACCCACATGGCTTATTTAAAAAAAAAAAAAAGAATTCAGCATTGAACAGGACCTGCCCTCCAGCGGGGCTGACCAATGGTGTCGACATGGAAGGGGCGAATGAGTGGCCTTGTTGAATTTCAGCTGCCAGAATATGTACAA